GCGCTTTCTGTGTTGTTTATGCTAAAGAAGGACTATTGCGTTGCTTCGGGGTGCGGGATTGGATAGCGATAGCCTCATCCTATATTTAAGTAATATTAATATCCTGTCACAACGTTAAGTGCCTTTCAAGAGCAGCAACATGCTCACGCGTTTTTTGAACTTTTCGATGGTTTCTGCAGAAGTAACGGGGAGCAACACTTTTGCAGCTTTAATAGAGAAAGATTTCAGAGATCCATCAAGATTCCAATCGTTGATAAGTTTGGTAAGTTCAGTAACAAACCTCTTACCATGCATATCAGAGGGTAATTTGATAAACTTTTTCTTCCAGTGCACTACATGTTGATACGCATTAATAATGAAAGTTTCAAACACAAGGCCCGAAAGCTTGCCCCAGGCTTGGTCAGGGCGCCTACACTTATAATGATTGGGTATTAACAGGTTCGGCCACTCTTCGGCGTCGTTTGAGAGGACGTCGCAAGGTTCAATACTGCTTTCTCAGATGTCTTTGCACAGGAATAATGAAACCAAGTAAAGCAAAGATCACACTGAACACCTCTCGTTCTGAGAAGGCCACCATACTTGCACCCAAAATTGCCACATTGTATATCTGTTTCTGTTCCCGGCTTCATCTTTGCTGTTCTTTGTGTTTTATCAATTTGATCGAAAACTATTTGATAAATTTATCACAACAATTAGGCTAAATTAACACTTATTACAAGTATTTTAACAGTAAATTTAATTGTTGTGATAAATAAGTTTATCACAACAATTAAAAATTTACACGTAAGCTATAGTCTATGTATAACATGGCTAAAAGTTAAAAAACTGACAGGTCAGAATCAAAAATATTCACAAATCGAAATTTTATAACCATAACAGAATAAAAAGCTAAAAAGAAATACGTTAAAATAGTAAATTCAAACAAACATTTCCGCACATTTTTGTGCATCTCCAGGTTTTGTGAATTCTAAACTATCTGTACAAAATGATCAATGATCATGAAAAGTGTCATACACAACATTAGTCCAAACTTTTAATAATTCAACCAATCAAAACTTTACAAATTTTACTGAAATTATTTAATTATTATGTAACAATTTTTAACTTTTTGTCACTAATTTCTGAGAGTTTCCACCTTTTTTGTTTTCACAATTTCGTTTTGTCGCTAATTTTCATGCTAACATGTAAGTTATTGCAAATGTTTTTTTGTGGTTTAGCCAGAATTTTTCGATTCTGGAACTATAGCCTTAGTGTCAGCTCCCTACTTCTAAACTCGTCGCGCGTGTTAGTTGCCGGTCTCTCTTTCTCAATGTGCAGCGCCTCTAGTGTAAGTAACTTGATGCTGCTGGACGCCTGATCGATTATTTTCCGTTTAAACTCAGACTTACCACTCTCACTACCACACTGCCTTATATGCTGTCCAACTGGGGTATCCTCTTTTCGGTGTTCCTCAATCTTTTATATCAAAACAAACAACAAACAAAAAAAGAATTAATTCCCTTATTAAAAATAAGGCAAAATTTTTATTAATAGATGAACAAAGAGGTGAAAAACGGCGCAAAGAGGTGAAAAAGTCGATCTCCGTTGTTTTCAGCGTGTAGTTCACGGCACGTGCTGTTCGGTGGGTGAAGAACGTCTCGGTTGACCATCTTCTTGCGGTTTTCACTGTCATCAACGCGCTGGATCTTGATGTCGTCACCTTAAAAAAATAATACGCAGCAAAAGGGAGTTCTGAGTCGCCATTTAACATTTTGTGGAAAAGGACAAGGTCGTTAAATATAAGCGTGAAGGATATGGGAAGCGAATTCGTTAAAAAAAGTTGCTTTCAAAAAGGTAAATGACCTGTAACCCAGGTAAAACATTTCCTGTTGAAGTTCTCAAGCTTCCTTAACATAGTTAAAGAGGGAGACCACACAGGACTAGCATACAAAAAAATACTTTTAACACAAGTATTGATGAACCTGAGTTTAACAGAAAGTGGAATGTGATATGGAATAGAACGTTTGATAAAATGAAAGCTTTTATTGCTCGATAGAAGTTTTTTACTAATATGGTCTGACCAAGTAAGATCAGAGATAACAAGCAGACCAAGGTCTTTGAGTAAATTAATAGATTGAACAGGTTGGTTGTTAACAAAAATACAATCAGGAAATTTGCCATTGAATATAATGAAATTGCACTTGTCTTTATTGATCTTAAGACCATTTTGAGTACACCAATGAGGAAAACTGTCCACATCAGACTGTAAAACACTGCAATTTGTCTTACAAATGAATTTTGAGTCATCAGCGAAAAGAAAACAGTTTGAATGATTAAATATATGAGGAAGATAGTTAATAAACAATACGAAAAGCAGAGGACGCAGTACGCTCACTTGAGGTACACCACTAGTAACTGGTAAAGTGGTGGAAATGCTTGTTCGAACTTTAACACATTGAAAACGGTTTGAAAGATAAGAAATCAAAAGAGCGGTGAAAAAATCGTCAAAACCAAAAGCAGCAAACTTCTGTACAATAATGTCGTGCCTGACAGAATTGAAAGCTTTGCTAAAATCGAAATACATGGCAGCGCAAGGAATTTTGGCATCATGAGTGTGATATACTTCATTTAGATATGAGAGCATTTGCGTTATGATGAAACGCTTCTTGCGGAATCCATGCCGAGCATTCGAAACTTTGTATGGAACTCAAGGGTAAATATAATTGAACAAATTACGCTCGAAAATGAGTGAAAGAGGAAGAAGTATGCTAACTGGCCGACAATTGGTAATATTATAAGTGGAACCAGATTTGAAAACAGGAGTGATGAGTGCAGTTTTCCAGGAATCGGGCCAAACACAAGATTGTATAATGGATAGGAAAAGGAAAGAAACAACCGGAGAATGAAGGCTGTGACAGGATTTATAAATGAATGCAGGTATATTATCTGTAGAACGAGTCTCTTTGCATTTAGCTAGGAGCTCGCCAACAATACTGGGGGAGACATCAACTTCGGAAAGTTTGATTTCCGAATCAGCCAAACTACCACCAGCAGAAGGACTACTTTCATATACTTGATAAACAGAAGCGAAATATTGATTGAAAGTCTCACTAATTAAAGCATCGCTCTCGACCTGTTTGCGTTCCCAAAAAAGTTATATAGGGACAGGTTGTGTTGATTTAAATTGGTTAAGAAACATAAAAGCATGCTTGGAAGAATTCGGCGAAAAACGTTGAATCAGCAGAGTTTTATCGAGTTCAACTGAGTTTGAGAAATCATTCTCTAATTGAGACAGATATTGGGGATTAAAACAATTCGAATTGTTCATAGTTCTCAGTTTGTTAGCAATATGAATAGAATGAGATGAGAAGTAAAACGGAAAATCTTTTCAGCGAGCCGTAATTTTACGACATGAAGAATCAAGTGCTTGATAAACAGTTTCGTTAAACTTGTCAATGAACTCATATCAGATGACATAAAAAGAAATATCAGAAATTTGCAGGAAAATGTTTTTTATTGATTACGTAATTTATTATTACAATTGTTTAAATTTGATTGGTCAAAAAATTTTAAAGCATTTTAAGACATGTTTCTAGTTTTTCAGATCTTTGTTCGTTTTGTAAATTTTTCAAAAATTTTAATCCTGATGATGCACAAATTGTGCAGAAACGTTTTAATGAACATTTTAAATTTCTTATAACCTCTTAATGAAGTTTGATAAGCCTTCTTAGGTTCAAAAGCGCGGCGAAAATCAAAAGAGCGGTGAAAAAAATCGTCAAAACCAAAAGCAGCAAACTTCTGTACAATAATGTCGTGCCTGACAGAATCGAAAGCTTTGCTAAAATCGAAATACATGGCAGCGCAAGGAATTTTGGCATCATGAGTGTGATATACTTCATCTAGATATGAGAGCATTTGCGTTATGGTGGAACGCTTCTTGCGGAATCCATGCTGAGCATTCGAAACTTTGTATTGAACTCGAGGGTAAATATAATTGAACAAAATACGCTCGAAAATGAGTGAAAGAGGAGGAAGTATGCTAACTGGCCGATAATTGGTAATATCAAAAGGAGAACCAGATTTGAAAACAGGAGTGATGAGTGCAGTTTTCCAGGAATCGGGCCGAACACAAGATTGTATAATGGATAGGAAAAGGAAAGAAACAAGCGGAGAATGAAGGCTGTGACAGGATTTAGAAATGAATGCAGGTATATTATCTGTAGAACGAGTCTCTTTGCATTTAACTAGGAGCTCGCCAACAATACTGGGGGGACATCAACTTCGGAAAGTTTGATTTCCGAATCAGCCAAACTACCACCAGCAGAAGGACTACTTTCAGATACTTGATAAACAGAAGCGAAATATTGATTGAAAGTCTCACTAATTAAAACATCGCTCTCGACCTGTTTGCGTTCCCAAAAAAGTTTAGTAGGGACAGGTTGTGTTGATTTAAATTGGTTAAGAAACATAAAAGCATGCTTGAAAGAATTCGGCCAAAAACGTTGAATCAGCAGAGTTTTATAGAGTTCAACTGAGTTTGAGAAATCATTCTCTAATTGAGACAGATATTGGGGATTAAAACAATTCGAATTGTTCATAGTTCTCAGTTTATTAGCAATATGAATAGAATGAGATGAGAAGTAAAACGGAAAATCTTTTCAGCGAGCCGTAATTTTACGACATGAAGAATCAAGTGCTTGATAAACAGTTTCGTTGAACTTGTCAATGAACTCATATCAGATGACATAAAAAGAAATATCAGAAATTTGCAGGAAAATGTTTTTATTGATTACGTAATTTATTATTACAATTGTTTAAATTTGATTGGGCAAAAAATTTTAAAGCATTTTAAGACATGTTTCTAGTTTTTCAGATCTTTGTTCGTTTTGTAAATTTTTTAAAAATTTTAATCCTGATGATGCACAAATTGTGCAGAAACGTTTTAATGAACATTTTAAATTTCTTATAACCTTCTTAATGAAGTTTGATAAGCCTTCTTAGGTTGTTTATGTGTTTAATTTTAGAATAAAAATGAGTTCAAGGAGTCGACCTGCTCGAATTTACGTTGGAAATTTGCCACCCGATATTAGAGTTTCTGATATTAAGGAGCTCTTCGATTCTCGTAAATATGGAAAAATATCGGATGTAGATTTGAAGAATGAAAAGGGACCTCCTTTTGCATTTGTCGAGTTTGAAAATCAGGCGAGTAATTTCTGTTCACTTACCCGGCTCAACTGCTAACAGGCAAACGCTAATTTTTCCACTGTTTTGAAGTCATTGGAACTCAAGATGTGGCAAAATTTTTCAAACAAAAAGTATTTTCGTTGTAGAGATAGAATTTGACTTTTTTAAATCAGGATGATGCAGATTATGCTGTAGAAAAACGGCACGGATACGACTATGACGGTTACAAGCTGCGTGTGGAATACCCCAAAGGAGCCAGAGATTCAAGAGATAGATTTGGAGGTGGTGGAGGAGGGTCGGTATAAGTTCACAATAAAAAGCATTTCGAACGCCATACCAAATCTAGTAGTAGTAGTAAAAGATTTTAATTTGCTTGAGCAAATTTACATCTCAAGCTTTTAAATTATTATGGACTATCCGAAGAGCTTATGCCAGAAAAAAAAACTGTGAAATTAATAAAGCGGTACTAGTTTACTTGTTAGGTCACTCAAAAATGCTTGTTAGGTCATGAACAGTAAACGTTTCTATTCCTCTATATGGCTGCTAAAAACGGCCATAGTTAGCCTAGCGGGTACGATTCCGATTAACAACCCAGAGTCGTAGGGTCAAATCCTGTGCTGGCTCCTATTTTTTTAGAAAATAGGTGGGAACAATTATGTAAACTAGTTATGTCACGGGACCAAACAAGTAAACTAGTACCAATAAAGCTAGCTACTGGTCGGCTTTTTGAGGATCTATCTGCAATTTTTCTGAGTGTTTAAGCTTCTCTCGTGACAGAGGTGGAAGAGGAGGCCGGTTCGAGCCGCGATCATCGAAATATAGGGTGTCTGTTTCTGGCTTGCCCAAATCTGGATCGTGGCAAGATCTGAAAGACCACATGCGGGAGGCTGGAGATGTTCTGTTTACAGATGTATTCCGAAATGGTATTTCATTACTTATTCTTAAAACTGTCTCAAACGTCATGAAAAATTCAATTTTGATTTAGGTTCGGGTATATGCGAATTTAAAACATCAGAGGCAATGCGATATGCAATAGATAAGCTACACGACTCAAAGTTCACATCGCACGAAAACGAGACATCATACATAAGTGTAAGAAGCGATGACAAGGGACGCTCGCGCTCGAGGAGTAGATCACGACGGAGATCACGGTCTCGCGACAGGCGTCGTGATCGAAGTAGGTCGAGATCAAAAAGTCGATCACCGAAAAGAGGAAGGAGCCGATCGAAGAGCGATAGTCACAGAGCCAGGACTAGGTCCAGAACTGGATCTCGTTAAGTGTCCGCCCTAACAAACAAACAATATATGAGAGAAAGCTGCCGCATTGAATTCTCTCTAGCAAGGAACTGATCGTACAAGTGAGCAATCTGATGACCTATGCCTAAGTTTATAACTATAACTCGCCCGTACCTGTTTTATTTGTGACCTTTTAACTTTTTTGTGACGCATATTACATATGGAATATATTTCAAGCTGTTTTGTTCTGATTTGTGGTTCTCAATTAAAAGTCAACCTAATATTTAAATTTTCTTAGGTCCCTTCGAAGGATCCACGCCTAAGGATGGATAAACGCTCGGATAATTGAGGATTCGTCTCTTAAAGGAGCCCCCAAAACAAGGAAAAAAATAAGATGAATCTTTCGAAAAATGGACATTTCTTCGCTGTTCTTTGGACGCTATGGATTTCTTGTGCTTTATTGTAGGATTAAGCGATAAATAATCTGGGATTTTTGCAGTAAAATCTGGTCAATGGACAATCAAAGGATTCTTCTTCGTTTAGCAAGGATTCTTCTAAGGAGTTTCTAGGATGGATTCTCTTTTGCTGATTCTTGATTTCTATGAATGAGTGTGATAGGACTAGAAGTCGATTCTGCGGAGCTCAACGGGACGTACTCTTCTACTCATCTTGTGAAAAAAACTCAACTCTCTGAAAAAACACGGAAATTTAGCATCCTCACCTTAACTATTCTCTTTAATGAATTTTGAAGCCTATCTTGTATGGTTTTCCTGATAAATGCTAACAGGTTTATTTAAAACTTCTTAGCGGCTCGCTTTTGAATCATTTAAGAAAAAGATAAAGGATTTATTTGTCATTGCTAATGGTAAATATGCAAACGAAAATTACAACATGAAGCATCAGAAACAATGAGGCTTAAGTCCGAGCTCGATATCAACATTTAAAATGATAGTTCAATCGTAGTCAATATAAAACCAAATTAAACAAGAATAGCCGGTTACTGTTCAAGTAGCACCGAATGTTGCGACCGCAATCTTAAAAAATATAAAAATGTTTTCTAAAATTGTTGTCGTTTTTTCTGCATGTTGTGATGAAAAAATCAGAACGAAAGAAAAAGAACTTAGGCATATTTGAGAGTCATAGTAAACTAATTCAATTGGAAAACAGTTTCTGAAGAAAAATGACTAGAAAACCGAAAAAAAAAAAATCAAAAATTTTATCAAAATTTTTTGAGTTTTCAAGTTTTTGATTCCCAAAATTGCGCCGAAAAACTACCTTTACCTGGGTAAAACTGAGTTTTCGCGGCTTAAGTTAAGCTTAAATAAGCTACTGGAATTACTAACTAGCTGAATAATTAGCTCGAATTTAGAACAAAAATCAAAATTTTTCAAACCGGTTTTTCTCGACACTGAAATCTTTTTCAATTTTTTGTTATGTCGTTCGAATCACGACTGAATAGGCTTTAATGTGATATGTCACTCAACCATGTCCGATACTTATTTGTGTTACCTGAGTTTACGCGGAAAACAAAAAAACACTAAAACACAACCGAATCCAAAGTTCCTCCCCATTTTCAATGGTCGGAACAATATGAAAAAGTTCAAACCTTACCCCCAATCTTGCTAGTCGTAGGCACCTCTATTCGGTTTCTAAAACAAAACTAAATTTTTCATTTTACAATTACTGCTTTTTCTGTGTCCCATCCCTTGAAGCCTTTCTGAGACTGTTGGGCAAAGTTGAATTAAACGACCTGAATACCATCCGCCCTTCATTTGTTATTAACAGGGCTGCCTATAAGATTTGAAAATGAGAAATAACACGTCTCAAAGACTGTTGAACGTCATGTAATTACTCTTGTGGATAGTAGCTTGTTTTACCAAATAGGGTATCAGAATTACAATTTGTCTCACAGAAACATTTACTGATTCACGTACCAGCTCTTGCGGTGTTTTTGCTGCTGGTGTTGATTACCTAGTTAGTGAGTTTAGGTTCAGGTGGGTCATTCATTGAGTAATTTCAGATAAGGTACACCGTCTGTTCGTCACGCTATCTTATTTTCGGCCGGATAGATTCGTGCAACTTCTTAGTCTAATACCAATCTTAAGCTTACTCTTATCTCCTAGTCTCAATAGTTTAGCGTATATTGGTATTTGCGAGTTAGATATCTCGAACTGCTCTGAAGGAGAACGACTGTCTTCAATGATAAATTTATTTTGATCTGTTGCTGGAACTATGATTAGTTTCAGCGTTACAAAAAATTGTAAGTGTTAGTTATGGATCATGATTGGTTAGTTAGCAATCTTTTAAAGAGATAATTTTCTCAATAATTTAATTGGATATGAATACTAGTTCTAAAATGGTTCCAATAGGAATGCTAAGGTTATTGCTGCTTGTGACAACCGAGGTTTAATGCTGCTTGTGACAAACTGGTTCCACCCATTCGGGTTTTAATGTTTATTGCAAGGAACGATGGATGGAGAGATTTAATTTTCTCAATAATTTAATTGGATATGAATACTAGTTCTAAAATGGTTCCAATAGGAATGCTAAGGTTATTGCTGCTTGTGACAACCGGGGTTTAATGCTGCTTGTGGCAAACTGGTTCCACCCATTCGGGTTTTAATGTTTATTGCAAGGAACGATGGATGGATGGAGGAACGATGGATAGAGAGAAGGGGTGCAGATGTTCGTGTTTCAGAAGTGTGTCTTCTATATCCTAGATAGTTTTGAGTGATCGTGTCAAGATTTCAGATCTATACAATGATGTGTTGGTTTTGTTAAACTAGAGCGATACTGCATGTAAGATGGAGTTTGAATTCCATTGTGTAAAGAGCCAAGTGACTAGGATCGGTATGTTAAGTCAACATCGAGTTGGCCATCGCTCTTCTTCAAGGGGTTCCTTTGCTGCGATGTTGCGTCCTTACTTTAAATCCTGCGAGGGTTGTGACTAAGGCAACAAACCAATAGATTTGCTATTCATTCGCAATGTCGTGGAGTTTTCATCTCCCTTAGCTGCTCGTTCTTTTTGCTCCAAGAAATGTTGTACATGGCATATTTATGTCTATATCTTGTTAGTGAGATCAGTTTTAGTTATGATATAAGTTGTTTTCGCAAAAACGTTTTTTATTTAGTTTCGGTTATTTTAAAGAGTCGCTCACCCTAGAACAACTCTCGTCAAAAATGGGAGTGTGTGTCGTAAGCGTGGTGTAGCGCGGTGGGTTACGCCGGCTTTAGAGCATGCTTCGGACGTCAAACTGGGTGGTGAGGCCAGTTGAGGGAGTATAATTTTTCCGCCTCTTTGAGCAGTTTTTTTGTGTTCAACTTTTTTTTTCTAATTTATCGGATGTTTATATTTGTTTTGTTTTTAGTTGGGCTCTTTTATCAAAAATAGATTGTTGTGTTGTGGATTTTTTGGATTTTTTAACGTTTCAAGTGGTTTTAATAAAACTTGAAAGTGGGGTTCAGAAGAATAATTTATCCAGTTTTGATCTGGGTTTAATCTCGCTTGGGTACCGTGGGACTTTTTTATACATGCGCTTAGTTTTTGTGGCATAAGTAAGCTGCGTTTGTTAGCTTAAGTTTACTCATAATTCCTCCCATTGTGGTTAAAGGAAAGTTTGAAACGTGTGAAAACAGATTAGAGTTATCAGTTAGTTTCTGAAACTAGAATTCATTTACTGAACAATTCTACGTGAGCGAGTTACTTGATTTTTGTTGAAAGAGTGTGTGAAATTTGGGCGAATAAAGAGAAATAGTATTATGAAAGAAGCACACATAAAAAGGTTAGTTCTCCTTAATTTATTTTGCCTTTCTAATTTACCACTTCATATAAAAGTTTTTACTACAGAATTATCAATTTATTGAACTATTTATTAAGTTTACTTCGCTAAAATTTTTTATTGGCATGGTTAAGATAAAATATAAAAATTGAAGAGTTCTTTGTTTTTGGTGTTATCTTTTGATGAGAGCTAGTGAAATTTGAAAAAGAAATGTGGAACACACGTGTAGGAATGGTTAGTATCTTATTGATTTGTGTTAGTGATATTAATATCTTTCATCCATAAGAGGGTTCAGGCTCAGAGAAAGTTCCATGGGAAAGTTAGTTTTAATGGTGTCAGGTGTTACTGAAAGCTTTGCTAGCAAGCGTATTACGTTTTTAGTGCGAAGCAGTTGCCAAAGAAGTTCAAGCGCTCTGATGATATCTACTTCTTCGGTGGTATCTGAAAGTTCAAGGTTATGATAATGAATGAGGTTATAAAGTTTGTGATTAAATTTATTGCGGTGGTTATTTTCCAGTAGGGCGTCTTCAATGGGCTGTATTTATTTTTGGGGAATGATGATGGTTCGGGCGTCTTCTAGTGGAAATATGTTTTTCAGTGGCCAAAATATGTACATCTGTCGAATAGGATCGTAATTTCTGAGGATTCCATGCAAGTTAGTTGATTTGATGCAATATGTGAAGTTTATGAAATAAGGTGATATGTATTTTGAATTGCTGAACATAAAACGATGGCGTGGGTTACGAGATGTTGAACTGTGTATGAAGTGTCTTTGCATGTTTTTATAATATGTGTACCTGTGGGTTAGTTTTGTTTTTAACATGACTTCGTGTGAACAGTAACTATCTCTTTCCTTCGGTGTGAGGAACTTAAATTTTAGTGCGAATTGATTAAATTTATTAAAGAATGGTTCTAGGCTTTAGTGTTTTTGGGCGCGTGATCTATGATATGGTTCAATTTTTTGTTAGTGATATCAAATCAGATTATATATTCTGACTTTAAGAAAAATTTTTCAGTTAGTTGAAGGTAAAATTGGGATCATCGTCCTACAGGGAATCTTCCACATACCTGGTGACAGCGTGTTCATAATGGTTAAGGGAGAATCGGTTTGCTTTTGGTGACATGAATTTGTTCAGTGTTTGGTTTAAATTTATAGTGCTGGATTGATTTTCATGCAGTGCGCTGGTTAGGTGGCGAATGATGGTCTCACAAAGTTTGTCATCTGCGGGGTTGCTTTTCAAAGGAAGTTTTAGTGGGTTAGTGAAGTTGTAATAGGAGATCCAGGATAGTGTAGGTGGTAGGGTAAGTTCATCGACGTTGGTGTATGTGGGTATTGCGGAATTGTAGTAAATATATTGAGAGAAAAATGGTCAGTTTTGAATGAGGAAATCTGATTTATTAGTGTGCTGAGGATGATGGCAATATAGTCGGTATGATCGTGGGAGACTAATAAGGAACTGAGATGCAGTGTTAGACTGAGATGCACCCAATGAAAACTCTTTGGGATCGTGTGGGTGTAATGTGAAATGAGGGAGCAGACGATTCGGAAGTTGAAGCTGAATGAGTTAGTTGGTGAATTGTTAATGAGTTAATTGTGTAGTGAAATTATTGTTGATGAGTTTAAAAGTTATCTAAATCATGCTCAAGTTGATCCACTGTGATAGGGCTTGGTGCATCGGATTCATTACTTGAGGGGAGAAAATAGGGGTAATGTCAGTGTCTGAGAAGGGAGAGGGATATGGTACATCCGGGAGAGGGGGAGTTATAGGCTGAAAAGGTGGTTGAGAAAAATAAGTAGGTTTAGGTTCGGAGTCAAGGATTTCGTCGGGGGTGTCTATATCAGACTTATATGAATTAGAAATGATATGAAAAACAGTCTGCGTTGAGTTAGAAGAAAAACTGGTTAGAGTGGAAGATGTGAGGTCTGAAATTGAAATAAGGGAATTTTGGCATTGGAGAACTGAGAGATAGAAAAGGGAACGGTTGAGGGATCCAATTTGTCGG